ATCGATGTTTCTCTCTCATCATCGATGTTTCTAACTCTCTATCCCTCTCCTTTCCTTTCTGAAATCAATAAAGATATATTTTTTTAAAAAAAAGAATGAAGTTGGACGCTTCTCTTACACCATGTACAACACCTAAACATCAGAGCTAAAACTATAAAAGTCTTAGAAGAAAACAGAGGGGCAAACGTTTACAACCTTCCATTCTGCAGTGGTTTCCTAGCTGTGACAACGAAAGGAGGAAATGGATAAATTAGACTTGACTAAAATAAAAACTTTTTGTGTATCGAAGGACATGTCAGAGAGTAAAAGAACATGCACAACTCAACAGCAACAGACAAACAACTCAATTTAAAAATGGGCAAAGGGCCCATTTCTTCAAAGACATGCAAATGGCCAATACGCACACGATGCCCAGCATCGCTGGTCATCAGGGAAATGCAAATCAAAACCACCATGAGATCCTCTGCACACCCACTCGGGTGACCATAATAAATAACAATTTATTCTAGGACGTGGAGAAATCGGAACCTTTGTTCAGTGCTGGTGGGAATGTAAATGGTGCAGCCACCATGGGAAGCAGTCCGGCAGTTCCTCACAAACTTGAATATAGAAATTACCATGTGACCCAGCCACTCCATTCCTAGCTATGCACCCAAGAGAAATGGGAACACATGCTTATGAAAAAACTTGTCCACAAATGTTCATAACAATCTATACTAATAAAAGGGTAATATGCTAATTAGACCAGCCGTCTTCCAGATGTCCTTCTGGACAAAGCCATGGTGTCAGGGGCCGAGGCAGAGGCAGTTAGGGGCGATCAGGCCAGCAGGGGAGGGCAATTAGGGGCAATCAGGCCAGCAGGGGAGGGCAGTTAGGGGGTGATCAGGTCAGCAGGGGAGCAGTTAGGGGCGATCAGGCAGGCAGGCAAATAGTTAGGAGTCAGCGGTCCTGGATTGGAGAGGGTGCAGGTCGGGCTGAGGGACCCCCCCCCCCCCATGCACGAATTTCATGCACTGGGCCTCTAGTATTATTTATAATAGCCCGAAAAAGTGGAAACAACCCTAATGTCCATCAACTGATGAGTGGATAAACAACTGTGGTAGATGATAGCAGCCAGGTGATCTTTAGAAACGACCACCTGTCAGCTTACAGTAACCAGCCCTGTCTCCCTGTGCAAACAGCTGGGGGTGGGGGCCAAGGTGTTGAATTGTGGGCGTGCGGGGGGCATGAGGGGTGGGGAGGATTGCAGCACAGCTCTGCGCTGCTGGTCCCCACGCCGCCTACCCCATGGCCTTCCTCCATCAGGTGCTCAGGGAGCTTCCGCTCTTAGGGTCGCCGGCCAGGCCTCTTCCCCCCACCTCCCGCCTCTCTCCAGAAAGGAGAAAGAAGCCCAGGCTCACTGCTTAGTTGTCTTTCTTTCTGCTCTTAAAACGGAAGTGGGTTTCCCCTGCAAACATCTATTTCTAAGCTAAGTGTTCCTTGAAATGGAAGCAAAATAACTTTTAGGCTAAGTTTTTCATTCATTCATTGCCTGATGGGGAGACTGTGGTGACTGCGGGCGGTGCGGGAGGGTCTGGGGAAAATGAAGCCTGGACTTGGGCTGGTGAACACACAACACCATGTACAGATGTTGTGCTGTGGAGCTGTGCACCTGAAACCTGTGTACTGCTGTTAACCAGTGTCACCCCAATAAATTCAATTAAAAAAAGCACAATACCATATACATACATCTAATCTAATAAAAGAGAAACATGCAAATCGCCGTACCGCT